TGGTGTTGGACACGGTGTGTGCATTACCCGTGATGTCTCCCCCCCCCCGGGCCTGGAGCTGTGCGGGGGCAGAGAGAAACCAGCTCAGGCCTGAGATCCCAGCATCGGGCCATGTGGCTCGTGATGGAAGGGGCCTGGCCAGATGTGGGGACGCGGCATTGTGCCCTCGTGCAATGGCAGAGTGCAGGGAGGGGGTCAGAGACCCTGAGCTCCCCCCCTGCCCAGCTCCATCAGCAGCTGGAGTCTCTCCAGCTCTGCTAGCAGAGATGCTGCTGGGGTCGAACTTGGGCTGGGGGCCACGGCAGGCTCAGGACAGGGATGTATGAGCCTTGATTTGCTCTTTGCAGAGCGCACAGCTGGCTGGCACTCCCCCTCGGGGCCTGGTTAGCCATGCAATTAACAGCTCCATCCATTAAGAGGAGAGAGAAGCTCCCTGGCAGCTGGGGCTGGGCTTTGCATCATGCCTCCAGTGTCCTGCATTGTGGGGAAAGCTCCTCTGGTGCCCAGGGCTGGCTGTGCCGTGCCGGGATGCAGTTGGGTCCCTGCGGCGTGGCACTGAGAAGGGCAGACCCATCCGGCAGTGCCTGTCTGGCTGGAGGCTCCCGACAGCCACGCTCTGGTCCCTGGCAAACATGTGCTGTGCTCAGTCGTGGATCCTGCGGCCTGTGGGGACCCCTAGCTCAGCCAGGCAGACCGAGGCTGGCGGGGGGCTGGGCTCCACCACGCCGGCATCATGCCGGCTGGCTCATCCGGACAGACTGGGGAGTGAAGCACAGAGCAGGAGTGGGTGGGCTGGGCTGGCCTTGCCCCCATGGTCACCCACCCGGTCCTTCTCCATCTGCTCTCATACCAGCCAGGTGCCGTGACCCTTTGCTTTCCTGCTCCTCGCTGCCAGGCTGCTGCTGGCTTCTGGGCAGGAGGCTACAAGGGAGCGTCCATGCTGGCGATGCTGTTTTCCAAGGGGGCAAGACACCCTGGGCAGAGGTAGCGGTAGGAGGGTGCTCGGTGCTGGGTTGTGCCATACGCTCATGTGCAGCCTTAGATCCTACTGGCCCGGTTGGTTCAGATGGATCAAGGAGCCCTGTAGGACCAGCCCCAGCCCTCTTTCTTTCTTTTTCCTCCCCCCTGCAAGGGGCATCTCTCCAGGGGCGAGATTTTGGGGCACAGCTTTCACAGCCCAGACAAGGGGAACTCCCCATCCCTTATCCTCCCATGCAGCGCACCTTGGTCCATGTCCCTCTCCACCCGGTGAGTGCTGGATGCACTGTTCAGTGTCCAGCAACCAGCAGGCAAGCAGCACGGGGCTGGGGACACGGGTGTGATTTAGCACCGGGCGTCTCTGTAGTGACATTGTTCGTCCCAAGGTGCCTGGCTGAGGCTGACGGCGAGCTGTTGACGGGAGACTGGACGAGGCATTTGGGGAAAGACTTGGCCCTTTGCAAACTGCTTGTGGTTTTGCAGGCGGGCGGGAGCACGGAGCAGATGCAGTATTGCCAACTCTCATGATTTTTGGCGTTCTTCTTAAAGTCAATGCTTGGGGAATGTGAAAAACATAGCTCTTTATATATATATATATGTGTGTGTGTGTGTGTGTGTGTATAAAAGAAAGAGCTAAATTTTTGGCAGACACACACATACGTGTATATATATACACACGCACATATATATATATATATATATATATATATATGAAAGAGCTGAGTTTTAGACTTTAAAAACCATGCCAAAAATTGTGCGAGTTGGCAATACTGCGGATGCCAACATCCTGGCCGCATAAAACCGTGGCTCTGACTCCTTTGCCGTGTGGGAGTCGGCGGGGGTGATGGGGCAGACGCTGCCAGGCTGGGCTCTGTGTGTGCTTTTGGGTACAGAGGTAAAGCCCCAGGCAACGAAAGAGGAGGATGCCTCAAATGAAAGGAAGGAGAAGCGCCGCAAGGAAGGAAGGCAGGACGGGGAGAGTTGGAAGAAGAAAAGGGGCCGGGCTGAAATGCGTCCCTGTCCGTGTCTTGCCAAAGCCAGTTGCTTCTCCTTCTTGTGTTTTCTTTCCCAGGTCTTGGCTTCCTGCCTGGGGGCTTATCCAGCTGCGGTCACAGCAGCAAAACTCCTCTGCCCTTCAGCCATCGCAGCGCGCCCAGAAGGATTTCTCCCTCTCTCTGCTCCATCCAGGTGTGGGCTCTTTGCAAACAAACAGGCTGTGCTCCAGAGCTGGGGGCAGCCTCGTGCAAACCCTCCATGGGGCTTGTGTAGGGAGAGATCACCGGGCCAAAACTTAGAGATCCGGTCAGAGCAAAATCAGGCTGCTGGGTGCCGAGATCTCGGGAAACCTGGACTGAATGGCGCGTGCCAAGCGCTCGGGAACCCGGGTGACAAGTGGAGCCCTAGAAATATGGGTTTTAGCAGCCCTGATGATAGTTTCATAGTTTCTAGGGTCGGAAGGGACCTGAGCAGATCATCTAATCCGACCCCCTGCCATGGCAGGAAAGAGTACTGGGGTCAAATGACCCCAGCAAGGTGTTCATTTAACCTCCATGATAACTTGCTGCACCCAGGCAGAGGACTTCAGTGTAAATAGTCTGAGTCGGCTCTTTGGGGCCTGTTGTCTTTGCCCCGGTGCTGAGCACATGGTGGGAACTAAACTAATACATAAGATGCTGTTACCACAGAGGGGGACCACGGTAGTGCAAAAGGACTGGCAGGGGCAGCATCCTTGGGAGCAGTTTGCTTGTCGCTGGGGGAGAAAACTATACGGAAAAATTATCCTTATGCAACAACGCTCTGCTTGTACATGTGCTACAAATACCCAGCCAGGGAAGAGGAATTTCTTCACCTCCCTGACCCTGGGTGCGAGGTCCTCCTGGGTCCGGGAAGTCTGGCACCTGGAGATCCCAGCCCCCTCCTCCACATCTGGAGTCCTGTGTCCAGCTGCGGGCCCCCCACTGCAGAAAGGATGTGGACACATTGGAGAGAGTCCAGCGGAGGGCAAGGAAAATGGTCTGAGGATCTAGGGGACAGGACTGGTGAGGAGAGGCTGAGGGAAATGGGTTTATTGAGTCTGCAGAAGAGAAGACCGAGGGGGATTGAATAGCAGCCTTCACCTCCCTGCAGGGGGGCTGCAAAGAGGACAGAGCTGGGCTGGTCTCAGTGGGGGCAGATGGCAGGACAAGGAGCAATGGGCTCAAGTTGCAGCAAGGGAAGTTGAGGCTGGATATTAGGAAAAACCTCTCACGAGGAGGGTGGTGAAGCACTGGACCAGGTTCCCCAGAGTGGCTGTGGCAGCTCCATCCTTGGAGGTGTTTAAGACCCAGATTGACAAAGCCGTGCCTGGGATGATGGAGTTGGGGCTGGTGCTGCTTGGAGCAGGGGGTTGGACTAGATGGGGCTTCCTGAGGCCCCTTCCAGCCCTCGTTGCCTGTGATTCCTCCTCTTCATCCCCTGTTCACCTTTCCTTGCCCCTGCCTGGCCCAGAGGATATTCCCCATGAGCAAAAGGTTGGGATTTGAGCAAAACTGTTCAGTCGCCCATGGGCCTGTTTGGATCCAGAGCAGTAAGACCAGGCCGGCCCCCTGTTCGAATGCACCCCCCTTGTTTGAATGCCTGAATATTAAATAATTTTTTTTTTTTTGCAAAAATCTAGTTGGTTTAATAAAAAATATCACCTCTACTGTGAGTCCTGATTGCTTTCCTCCTCCTGTTTGGCGGCCTCTTTCCTGCATCCCGCCAACCCCAGGCTGGACTTTGGCCCTTGTCCTGCCGTGCTGCAACACAGCTGCAGAATGGCCCAGCACCATCTCCTGGGAAGATGCAAAGGGTGCCTTTTGCACCCGCTCCCCCTTCCTGCCCTTGGCCCCTTGGAGCAGGGCCCAGGCCTGCTGGCTTTGTGCAGTGCCAAGCACCAGTGGGTGCTCAATGCAACCCATGCAAAAGGACTGGAAGGGGCAGTTTACTTGCAGCTGGGGGGGAGAAAAATAGATGGAAGAAAACCCCCTTATCCATCAGCATTGCAGGGTGAAGAGGGGCTGGGAGGGGCAATGCCCCCACTGGAGAGCCCAGTGCTAGATTAGGACATGTGCCCTAAAATATGCCCGATTTAAGAGTCCCCATCAATTAAAAATAGTCCACAAAAATGGATTTTCATGAAATTTTAAGATGCATGATTGTTATTTCTGCTGGTCTCCAGGTTGGAGCTGCATTGGTTTAGAGGAAAAAGCAATCAGGGCTCATAGTAGAGGCGATCTCTTTCATTCAACCAGCTAAATTTTTGCCAACAAGAATTTTTTTTGCAAACATCTAGTGGGTCAAATAAAAGACATCACCTCTACCACGAGCCCCGATTACTATGTCTGCCCACATTGATGAACTCAATAATAACTGTGAAGCCATAGATACCTAGATATCTATATAGCTGTACATACTAGATATCTATGGCTTCACAGTTATTATTCATATTGAGTTCATCAATTTGGGCAGAAACAGCGATTGGGGCTCATGGTAGAGGTGATCTCTTTTATTTGACCAACTAGATAATCTATATAGATAAAGATATCTGGATATCTATATCTATATAGATACATCTACATATCTATATGAGACACAAAATGGACATTTGCATTGTAATATGACAAAACCAGACATATAGATACTACAAAATTATATATATTATAAAATTAAAATATATATGTCTGTTTTTGTCATATGCTTGTCATATATATGTCTGCTATTTTGTCATATATATATGTCTGGTTTTGTCATATTACAATGCGAATGTCCAGGTTTTTTTGCTCTTATTTAGAGGCCCCAAACTATAGTTTCAGCCCAAATCCGGCGCTGGGAGAGGGGAGCCCAGGGAGGGAGCACCCAGAAGCGCCCGCCCGCTCCTTTTTTTCCCCAGCGCGCTGCAACGCGAAACATAAAGACCCACCGATTCCAGCTCTCCGATTGGCTGCCGAGGGGAGAAGGGGCGGGGCGGGGCGACACGTGTCAGCAGAACCCGGAAGTGGCAGCAGCCCCTGGAGCAGGCAGGGCAGGGCTGCAGGAGCAGCAGTGAGTGGGGGGCTCTGGGG